AAGTTGTAGGGGAGGGGAATGGAAGTATCTCCAGCAGAGTAAGTGGGTGGTGTGAAAATTTCTTAATTATGTGGGCCGCTGAGACTATGTGTTAGTCTTCTAAAGAGTGAATGAGGGTGAGGGATGCTGTGAGGTACCCATGTATTCATTCATTTTGTTCACAGCCAAGCACTGTGTGGGACCCTGAGTCACAAAGATGAGTAATATGCACTCTTGCCATAAAGGAGGTCCCAGCATGGTTGGTGTAGATAGGAGAGGAAAGAGGCAATGAAACAGAGTTCAAGCCTGCCTGGTAGGGTCATTAAAGGCAGGGTTTGAGACTAGATATGAAGAAGGGAAGGGATGAACCAGGAGAAGAAGGGAGTGAAGGGCCTTTTGGGCAGGCAGAGCAGTATGTGCAAAGGGCCAGAAGCATGGAAAGATGTAGTGTCTTTGGTGAACTACAGCAAATTCAATATGGCTGAAACTCAAAATGTGGGGTCGGGGGGGCTAGGGAAACGGGACAGGTGATGAAGCTAGTCTGACTTCCCCACAGTTTGGGGAAGTCAGACTATGATCTCATAAGTCTCATTAAAAAGAAAATATTTTGTTCAAGGAATTTTGAATAATGCTGAGCAGGGAGTAACATGGTTGAATTTGTACTTTAGGAAGGTTTCTATTACTTCAATGAAAAGAATGGATTGGAAGAGGGAAGAGAAGTGTAGAAAGAAAAGCTAGGAGGGTCTTGGCAAAAATTCATGTGAAAAGATGGTAGATGAGGGCAACAGCAGAGGTGATGAAGAAAAGGGGATGAGATATCAGAGATTGCTGGAGAGGAAATAAAACCAACAAATTCCAAGGGATTTCTGGATTATGGGATATGTGGAGAAGGGAGTGGTTGCAGTTAATCTCTGAGATTCCAGCTTGCAACCTGAGTGGAGATGGTCATTTCGGGGAGAGAGGAATGAGGAGATCAGGTTTGCACATGATAAGGGGTCTGTGAGCTATACAGTAAAGAGCAGGCATGCAGCATGTATGCAGGACTGGATCCTAGACAAGAGATGTTTGTGAGTCATCAACCTATAGATGTTAATTAAAGCCTTGAAAATCAATGAAACAGATTACCCAGAAGTATGTATATAGTGAGACAATAAGAAGGTTCAAGCTAGAACTTTAAGGAACAGTGACATTTAGGGGGCATACAAAGGATCCCTCAAAGCAGACTGACACAGAACAGCTAGGAGGAGCTCCCGGAGAGACATGTACCATACTGTAACTTTCTGCTTATTTGCCTGTTAAATGTTGATACAATAAAATCATGGCTCAAAAGCCAAATGACAAGAACAACTCACAGAAAAAAGAATGGTCAATAATGTCAGCTCCTCCCAAGAGGTCAGGCAGTTAAGGACTTTTGAAAAGATCCTCCAGACTGAGCAGAAGAGGTTACTTCTTTCTCCTAGGGAAAGCAGTTACATTTGAGGGGCAGGCACAAATGGGAAGTGAGGAAGTAGGAACAGCTATATGCAGAAGACTCTTTCACAAAATGTGACACTGAAGAAAAGTGAGGAAGCCTCTTAGCTAATGGGGTATTACAGGGTTAAAGAAAGATAGGAGAGGCTGGATGATCTTTATGTCCTCCCAGGAGGATGGGAGAAAGGACAGAACTGGAGACATGGGAAAGACAGGAAATAATCAGTTGAGTGAGGTCCCTGTGGAAGAGGAAGGGGATGGGATCCATAACATAGGTAGGGGATTGGCTTTAACTAGAAGAGACACTACTTCATTCTTCTAGGAAGGAAGGAGAAAAGATTGAAGAGGATGCAGATAAAATTTGAGGGAGGAGGCAGAAATCTGAGGGAATTCAAACCAGATGGCCTCAGTTTCATCGGTGAGCCAGAAGACCAGGTTGTCCACTCTTAATTCCCCCCTTTCCTTCACCCCTCATGTCTGCTTTGTCACTGAGTCCTGCCTAAAGAGCTCTTGAAACCATTCACCTTCTCTTTCTCTCCTGCCGCTACTCCAGTTCAGGCCAGTATTATACCCTCCTGAGTTTCTACAACAGCCAACTGTCCTCCTTCTCAGGCTCCTTCTGCAGTTGATACAATAATTCTAAAAATGAATCTGATCATATTGCTCCACGGCTTCAAATGATTTGGTAACTCTCCATTATTGGGTTAAAGGAATTTCTTTACGTGGCCTCCTAGACCGTGCATGGTCTAAGCCTCCATTTACCTTTCCCACAGACTCTCTCCCTCATGCTGTAAGTGTCAGGCTCACTAAACTGCTTTATCCCTCACACATACACTATTTTCTTTCGCGTGGGCTTTTACCTGCTACTCCCTTGGCTTGTCATATTATCCACCCACTCCATCAAGTTTAAATGTCACTTCCTCCAAAAAGCCTCTTCTGACCTCCCTACACTGGCCTAGGTTTCTCTGCTGTGTGCTGCAATGTTATAACACTCACTCCCCAGCCTATAAGCTCCAGAGGATAGGACCATGTCCATTTTGTTCCCCTTTGTATTGCCAACTCCTGTCACAATGCCTAGCAGAGTAGGTGCCTACTATGTGTTTGTTAAATGAATGAATTAGTGTATTGATTAATAAATCTACTGAAAACAATGGTGTGAGGGATGTGGGGTAATGAGTGTGCAGAAAATAGAAAAAATTCATCCATTTATTTATGAAGGGCCCAGTTAAGGGTGGAGTTTTTAGAAGCATGAATTTATGGAAGCATCCCCTGGTGTGGTTGAGAAGTCATTCAGTTAGGGGCAATAATTTGAGGGATGAGCATAGAAGATAAGCAAATACAGTGGCCAAGGAATGGTTAAAAGGATGATCCTTAGCATAGGAGCTGGAAAGAAAGCACAAAGTCAGAAAGGAACAGAGTAGGAGGAAACAAAGAGGTCAAGGGTAAGAGGTTGTTATGAGGTTAAAGAGTATAATGGGAGCAAGAGCATCTGAAAGCTGGAAGGATATAGGAGGTTGTGGGCAGAACGAGGCATGCAAGAGTTTCGAATTTTAAAAGTGGAACAGTTATGCAGAATGGTCCTGGGAGGGAAGAAGAAGGTAACAGGAGCTAAGGACATCAAGAATCTGTGAGGCTGTGGTGCTGAGGGACACTGAGAAACCATGGCAGGATACACTATCCAGATCTTGAAGTTTTCAGGGAACAAGAGGATGAGCCTGGGAGGTCTGTGGATGAGAAGGGGTGACGGTCTGATCATAAGTTAAGTGGAGTTTATTCAGCAGTTAGGAGAGTTCTTCCTGTGGTGTCATGTCATCCATGACTATCTCCTGGGGGTTGTATAAGTGGCTGTGTGATAAGGGCAACTGTGCACAGCCTTCTGTTAGTGACAGACCTCTGGGACACCCACTATGTATAGGCAGCTCCATGAAGTAAACCTAGTAAGATGTGCTGACCGTGACAGTGCTTCTGATGGATGTGGATTGCAGTGACAGTGTCTCCTGAGAGGTGTGGGTGTATGTGTTTGTTGCTGGTGACAGTGTCTCTGGAGAAGTGTTGGCAGTAACAGTGTCTTCCATGGTATGTGTTGGCCTTGACAATGAGCCTGTGGGAGTATGTTGTTGCAACATTTCTGCTGTGGGTGTGTGTTGTATGCATGAGAGCATTTTCCGTAGGTGTGTGTTGGCTTGATAGAGTCAGCTGTGGGTGTGTGTTGGTTTTGACTGGGGGTGCTTCCTGGGGGTGGGTTTCCTGAAAGTGTACGATGGCTGAGGGTGTCTCTTGAGGATGTGTGTTGCCTGGGACTGTGTCCATTTCTGGGTTGAGTAGGGCTATGACTGTGTCCCTTATGGGTATTTGAGAAGTTGACATAAGTGACAATATTTTTCTGGCCTATGACCTTGTGGCTGTGGGCCCAGCCAACTACACTGAGTTCATTGTGCTTCTAGACCTCCCTCTCCCCACCCCCTCCACGTGGGACCCACGCCTGCGGTGACCTTGCTCCGTCCCCTGCACGGGATTCTGACCCGGGTATCCCTGACACAAACTCCCAGTTGCTCGAACCTCCCACTCAGAACACGTCTGGGTGACCCCCCTCCATCCACTTCAGGCTGTGCCTGCCTCTCCCCTGCTTCTGGGTACATCTCCCCCCTCAGTTTCTTTGTCTCTGTCTCAGTTGGTCTCTGTCACACACCCATCCTCCACATTCTGACACATGGGCTCCCACAGAGCGGGCAACACACCCTCACAGGGACTCGCTCCCCATGACACACGCTCATTCTGACCCTCACACCCTCAGAGTGACACGCACATGCACACACAGCCAGAGAGACACCCGGGGACACACAACCTCCCAGTGACACGCACTGACACACTCCTACGATGCACTGCACACAACCCTGTCGCACCCCACACCCCGGCGCAGGCTCGCGCCGCCACCCTCCCCGACTCGATGACACACGCACACAAAGACCCCCAGGCCCTGCCCCCACGCTCACGTTCACGCTCGCCCGGGTCCCGCAGGCCCAGGCCCCCCCTCCCCCATTGTCTCCTGCTCAGAACAAAGCCCCCGGCTCCGCCGCCGCCGCAGCAGCCCAGGGGAGGCCGGCGGGCAGGGCGGGCACTGCCGGACAGGCCGGGCTGGCGCGGGCACTGACCTCCGCGCGACGCGGGCTCGCTCGCCCCGCGCTGGGGCGCCGTCCGGCAGCGGTCAGCCCCCCGGGCAGCGCCCGCCCGCGCAGGGCCTGGGGCCGCGCATCGTCCTCCGTAGCTGTCTCCGAGGCTCGCGATCCCCTCCGGGCTGCCGCCGTCGGTCCGCGCGCCCTTGGCCGTCGATCGGTCGGTCCGTGGACGCCCGGGCGCCGCCTCCTGCACAGCCGCCCCGCGGAGGATGCGAGCTTCGCCGCTGCGGCCCCGCGCCCCCTCCCCTCCCCTCCCCCGCCCTCCGCGCGGTAACCCGAGCCCCCGCCCCTCCGCCCGCGGAGCCCCCGCCCCCGCCCCCACCCGCCCTCCGCGCCGCCGTCCCCCTCCCCCCGGCGCCCGCCTGGCCTCCCTCCGCCCCTCCACTTCCCGGCCCCAGGCCCCGGCTCCGGATCCAGCTCCGGCGCCGCGCCCCCGTCCCGGTTCCCTTCTCTTCTCCCCGTCACTTCTCCCGTCCTCTCCTCCCATTCGGTTCTCTACGCCCTCCGGTCTCCTCCCCGTCGCTCCGCTCCCTGCTGCTCACCTCCTCCTCTTCCATCTTCTTTCCGTCTCCTATTCCCCTCTTCTCCCTCACTGCCCTGGTCTCCCTCTCGCCCCTTCTTTCTCCCTACCGTCATCTCCATTCCCCTCGCCCTTTCTCCCATTCCCTTCTTCTCCCCTTCTCTATCCTTTTCTCCCCACCTCTTCTCCCCTTTCTTTTCTCTTCATCCCTTCTGCTCGATCTCTCTCCAGCCTCTTCACATCAGATTCTCTCCATCTCCGTCCCCACCTCTTCTCTGATCCTCTTCTTCCTAACCCTTTCTCCCTGTCTCTTCTCCGCACCTTTCTTCCCATCCCCTTTTGCCTCACTTCACCATCCCCTTTTCTGCCCGCCTTATCCTTTCGCTTTTCTCACCCCGCTTTTCCCTACCCCCTATCGCTTCCCCTTCTTCCTTGGTAACCTCGGCCTTCTCCCGTTAGTCACTTTTCCTTCGTTATCCCATGATTTCTATGTCTTTCTTCTCCTTCACCCCCAGGTTCTCTTTCCCCCACTTTCTCTGTATCCCACATTTGAGGGTAAAGATCAGGAGATATCGACCCACCATCTAGGGATGGTGGTCCCACTCACAGTATAATCCCCAGAAAAATAAAGTGAGGAGGAAACTGGGCAGGGAGGTGGGAAGGGACTCGAGAAACCAACTTGGGAGAGAATATGGGGAGAGGGGAAATCAGACAAAGATGGAGAGCAAGCAATCTTAAAGGAACTGGGAGAGTTCCGATTCCTGTCCTTCTTCCTTAGGACTGAGTAGGCTGTGAGAAAAACAGGTTTTCTCCACTTGAGATGTGTACAAATGGCATAAAGAAATCAGGAACTTCTGGGGAGAAAGAGCAAAGTTTCAGTTGAAGAAGAAGGAAGTGTGATTTTGGAAGAGGAGTGAGGGAGGGACTGAGGTCCTTGGTCGTATCCACAGCTCTGGCTTGGGCAGTGGGGTGGACGGTGGTGAGGCTGGCTGTTCTCCACAAAAGAAGCAGAAGGAGGCTGCAGGGGGTTGGTGTGGGAAGATGATGATGTGACTTGGGGCTGCTGACTTTGAAGTGCCTTTGGGGAAGGTAGGTCTGCAACTTAGAGGAGCGGTCTGAGACGGACATAAATATTTGGGAGTCATCTGCAAATACCGTATAAGCTTGAATATAGGGTGAGTTTTTTGCTTTTTTGTTTTTCCAAAATCATCCCTCAGGAAAGAGGGAGTAACCTTATATTTGAGTCCTTACAAAGTCTCTCATATTACAGGGTTTGCTCTCATTTACTTTATTTTGAACAACAAACCACTGGATAGGGCAGTATGGTATGGTGACTAAGCTTGTGGACTCTGGAGCCAGACTCCCTGGCTTGGGGTCCAGACCCTCCCATTTACAAGCTGTGTGGCATTGGGGAAGCTACTTAACTTGTCTCTGCCTTAGTTTTCTCATCTATAAAGTGGGCCTAAGGATTAAATTATGTAATATATGTAAAGCACTATATACCTGGCACTCTATAGTAAGTGCCCAATAAATGCTAACTATTTTTACTGTGTGGGTAAGACCCATTAACCTGACATGTCCTCAACAATGCTATTTTGGATGTATTGTAGTCAAGGAAATTTAACACAGCTTTGGTAACTATTCCTGGTAGTATGACCTCATAACTGCATGTGTTGGATGTCTCAAAATATGCTTTTCAAAGATTGCTTTAAAAAGCAATACAGTAGTACTTGGAAGAGGTTTTTGGGATGCCAAAAATGTTCTATTTCTTGACCTGAGTGGTTATATGGATGTGTCGCTTTGACAGTTCATTGAGCTGAACACTTATGATGACTTGTGCCCTTTTCTGTGTAGATGTTATATTTCAGTAAGAAAGTTAACAGAAATATAATTTTTAAAAAGCAATACATTGAGTGATGTTTAGAAGTCATGAATATACACAGGCAGGATGCATGCCAAAAACCAACTGCCCTAGTGTGATGCAAATGAAACTTGTGACTTAGGATGAAGTTTCCAAGGACTCTATTATCTGTGAATTCAAACTGTGCTGTGTCCTCTCCCAAGCACTTCGCTTAGGCTGAAGAGAAAGACTTCTGTTCTGGGGAAACATGTAAGATGGCTGAAAAAGTGATCCTAATGATGAGAAAGACACTGCTTTTGAGGATGCCTGTTAAGATTATGCATAAAATTGTTTAATAATGTTTATAAATCATACATTTTATGTGACATATGAATTTAAATATATGTACAATGAAGTCCATTAACTCATTGAAGTCCACTTTTGATTGTGTCATCCTCATCCTTTATTTTTTATTTTTATTTTTCATTCTCCTTAAAGGTTTACATTTCTAGCTTGGTTGAAAAGCTTTTTGGATCTTCTCACTGGGAAAAATGAAAAATTACGGTCTGGGCAAGACCCATTAACCTGAAATGTCCTCAACAACCCAATTTGGGTTGCTTTGTATAGTAAGTGTGACAGATGGTAAGTGAAGCTAAGGGAGGGAAGGAGGTTGCTGAGGGAGAGCACATCCATTAGGAAAAAGAGAAGGTCTAGGACAGATACTGAGAAGCTCCAACACGTAAAGGCTGAGCAGAGGAGGAGCCCCCAAAGGAAGGTGAGAAGGCATGGCCAGACAGGGAGGAGAAAGAAAGGGAGATGAGTGTGCCATCAAAGCCCAGGGAATGATCAAGGAAGAAGCCATGAAGTGAGGAGTGGTCATCAGGGTTGAATGATGCAGAAGAGACCAGTGAGGTAAGGACTGAAAAGGATCAGTTGGATTTGGCTGGTGACCTTGGGGACAATGTGGTAGGTGGAGTGGTTAGAATGAAAGCTAGTCAGCACTCAGTAGTTAAGGAGTGAGTGTCACCCAGGCTAGAGTGCAGTGGTGTCATCATGGCTTGCTACAGCCTCAACCTCCTGGGCTCAAGTGATTTCTCCCACTTTAACTTCTGCGCCCCCTACTCCCTCTACCCCCACCCCACCCCACTGATTAAAGAGACTATGGACACATGCCACCACCTGGCTAATTTTTTGTACTTTTTGTGGAGACAGAGTTTTGCCATGTTGGCCAGGCTGGTCTGAAACTCCTGAGCTCAAGCAGTCTGCCCACCTCGACCTCCCCAAATGCTAGCATTACGGGTGTGAGCCACTGTGCCCAGCTTTGTTTTTTTAAAAAATTTTTTTTTTAATTTTCCGTAGAGTGTAGGGGGTCTCACTATGTTGCCAGGGCTGATCTTGAACTCCTGGCTTCAAGGGATCTTTCCACCTTGGCCTTCCACAATACTGGGATTACAGGCATGAGCCACTGCACTAAGCCAGTACATCATTATTAACTAAATTCCAGACTTTGTTCTGATTTCACCAGCTTTCCCACTAATGTCCTTTTACTGTCCCAGGATTCAATCCAGGATACCTTGCATTTAGTCATCATGTTTAGTTTCCTCTGGTCTGTGACAGTTCCTCCATCTTTCCTTTTTTTTTTTTTTTTTTTTTTTTTGTTAATGACCTTGACAGTTTTGAAGAGTACTGGCCAGGCAATTTGTAGAGTATCCCTCAATTTGGATTTCTCTGCTGTTTTCCATGTGATTAAACTGGGGTGAGAGACTACTACAGAGCTGAAGTGCCTTCTCTCTATATTATATCAGGGAGTGCATGATATAAATGCAGATTTTCATGGGTAATGTTAACCTTAGTCACTGCATTAAGATCTCTTCACTGTAAGGCTACTTCCTCTCTTACCGTGTATCTGTTCTTTAGAAGTGAGTCACTAAGTCCCATACTCAGGGAGGAGAGTAAGCTCCATCTCCTAGAAGGGGTACGTATGATATGTATTATTACATAATGTACGTTATTTGGAATTCTTCTATATGTAGATTTGGCTCTTCTCCTCTTTCCTACTTTTATTTTTAAAATTAGTTTTCAAATCAGTATTATGTGTGCACTTAGTTTAAAAGGCCTCATAACAACAAGCATAAATTCAGAAATCCTGGGGAAAGAGTTGGGATGTCCTGGGCTGACTTAATGTGCCCATCCAGATCAATCTCAAGAGCAGGTGCCAGGTCACTTAAAAGATGGCATCTCCCATTCAGACTGATTATTAAAAATGTTTTGGCATACACACACCCTTTTGTTTAGGGGATACGTTGGTCCCTTCCTCTGTTAATTGACCTTTCATTTACCCTTCAGCTCCCAGCTGAAGCACTACTTCATCACAGACATCTTCCCTGACCTCTTTAACTAAGTCAAATCCCCATATTATGGGTTGTCATAGTGCCTGGTACTTCTCTGTGGCAGTTATCACTGTGGCAAGTTTATATTCTTTCTAGTGTGTGAATATTTGATTAAGTGTCTATATACTCCACTAAGCTGTAAAGCTGGTTTGTTTACCACTGTAGCACGTACATGCTGTGCCTGTACTGACCGAACACACAGGTGCTGTTCGGTCAGTATTTGTTAAGGTAATGGCTGGTGTGAAGGAAGTGGTTGTTCCAGAATAAAGAAAGGATGTTAGTGGGAGAACAGAATCAAGGACCACTACTCAGTGAATGCAGGAGAAAAAGGAGAGAGGATAGTAACCTAGGTGGGAGGGTGGGGTGGGTTGGGGTATTGGCAGGAGGAGTGGGGAGTGGAAAGGGTTGACAGAGAGCTGTTTGGACGAAGGCAACAAAAGCATGTTTAACATTGCAGGTAAGGAGCTCATGGAGAGAATGGAGAAAGGTCCTGGAGGAGAAAGGAGGAACTGAAGAATTAACCATCACAACAAGGAGGGATTGGTCTTTGCCAGGAAGAGAAGTACCTCCTCCTTCAAGACTGAAAAGGAAGATGAGTGGGGTGCAGATAAGTGCATGGGTGTAAGTATGTGGTAGTGAGGCAGGAAGGTGGACAGGGCAGGAATTTGAGGTCATCATACCTGATGATCTCATTCTCTCTAGAGAGGAGTTGGGATTTTGTGAAAAATGGGCACGAGGTAGCCAATAAAGTTAGAAATCTTGAGGGAAGTTTTAAAGGAGTGGAGACGCTGTTAAGGGGAGTGATAGCTGGTGGCCTTATAGGCCTAAAGGATCAAGGAGTTGAGGATACTGGCAAGAGAACAAAGGATATAGACACACCTCCACCTAAGTCCTTGATGAAAAAGAGGAAAAGTCATTTCATGACAACACTGAGGAGGATAGAGGCTTGTGTAAGACAGCATAATCTAAAAGGCTGAGAGGGAGGTTGGAAAAGTAGTTATCTCTATTTAGGCCTTGGGAAGCCTGGAGAATTGAGACTTCTTCCCTCTTCCTTCCAAGATATGTGGAAGTATGTACAGAAGGGGAGTACTTAAGCAAAGCCAGGTCTCTTGCACAGGAAGTGGAGGCTCAGAGGTATAGGAAGGGGCTGAGATTTCAGGAGTTTGTCACCATGAAATGAAGGTTTCAGAACAGGCAAGATTGAGGTGTGGGTCCATGATGGGAAGGGCTAAAAGGCAGGGAAGCAGTGGGAGGGGGCCAGTCAACTAGGGGCAGGGAGGGGCACATCAGTGTGGTGATGAACAAATGAGAAGGGAGAGATGACCCAAAAGGCCTACCTTGTGAATAACGATCTGAGTGACAGGATGGGAGACAGCTTTTAGTGGTTCTGTTAGTCCTCTGTTCTTTCCTAGTGAGCTGGAGGAACTGGGTAGCATTAGTAATTGCTTTCAGACTGCTGCAAGCCTTAGTTCAAAATACTTGTAAGTCACAAGTCATTAGCACTCCTTGGTACAACCCAGCCCTGGAAGAAGTGAGCAGGAGTATTAAAAAAAAAAAAAATGGCCAGAGTCCAGCACTGTTTGAATTGGGATCTTTCAAGAGTGAGGATGTTTTCCAGGCTCTGAAGGACTTCAACTCCCTGTAGAGACTCTAGGAAAGAAAAGGGAAACTCCCCATGCTCTCCCACAGAACAAGAGCCAGAGAAAGTAGAAGGAAATGGAATCTAGAACACAGGTGGTGGGATTAAATATGGAGAAGAGAAAGGCCTCCTATCCACTGGGATGGAAAGTCAGGAAAGCCAGTCCTGTGGATTTCAATTTACAGAGTGATCAATTTGTTGGAACTTACCAGTTTTGCCTGTTTACCAAAATTTTGTTTCTTTTAATTATGTGTAAAGTTTACAACAATTTTCATGGTTGGACTGATTTTAACTACTTTTAATGATTTCTGTGAAGTATCAGTTGACAATTTTTTGAGTTTAGTTTAGCTTAGTTGTACTTCTAATTTATTTGCAGCTGTTTCACTGAAATCATTTTGCCATGGCTGGCCAAAGTTCAGTGTATTCTAAGTTTTTCCTTATTTTGGAGCTGTGACTTTGGGGAATGGGAATTTCTTGTGCATTTTACTCTGCAAGAGTTGTACAATGGCTGAAATGTAAAAAAAATCATATACAATCCGGGAGGGGGTAATTATCCCTTCCAAATATTTTTAATCCAATAGTTTTTGTTTTTCTTTAATATTTTTTGTATATTTATAGTTTTAATAGATATGTAGATGTATGAAATATAGCCATACTGTATTTCCATACTTATTGGTTGGTGAATAGTATAATAGTGACTACATTAAGTGATAAAATTATATTATATTATAAACTAGTTAGTCTAAGACAGTTTTTGTAAGATATGATGGCTATTGATAAATGGATCTCCTGCTATAGTGACATCTGAGCAACATTTGGACAATTTCTGCCAGTTCCATTCATATCACAATAGGAATACTGTTTGAATTGGAATGGTACATTAGGAGCAGCCCTGCTTCTCCTTGTTGTTGATTATGTAGTTGTTACTACTTCTAAGTAGTCAGGTTTTTCCCTTTGGCTTTATTATTTTTTAAAGTAATAGCTTTATTGAGATATACTATATATACTATAAAGTGTATCCTTTTAAAGTGTACAATTCACAGTAATTTTTAGTATATTCATGGAGTTGTGCATTATCACCACTATCACATTTCAGAATATTTTCATCACCCAAAAAGAAACCCACACCCATTAGCAGTTACTCCATATCCTCTACCCCTCAGCTCCTGGCAACCAATAATCTATTTTCTGACTCTATGAATTTGCCCATTCTGAACATTTTACATAAATTGAATCATACAACATGTGGCCTTTTGCATCTGGCTTCTTTCACTCGGCATGTTTTCCGTATTCATCCATGTTGTTGCATGTATCAGTACTTCATTTCTTGGCTGAAGATATTCCCTTGTATGCATATATCACATTTTGTTTTTCTTTTCATCAGTTGATAGACATTTATGTTGTTTCCACTTTGGGGCTATTATAAGTAATGCTGCTATGAACACTTGTATATACATTTTTGTGTGGGCACATCTTTTCTCTTCTTGGGTAAATACCTAGGAGTGGAATTGTTGGTATGGTATATATTACAGTTCTATGTTTAACATTTTAAGGAAATATTTGAGAAAATTTGCCAAACTATTGCTAAAGCAGCTGCACTATTTTACACTTCCACCGCCAGTAAATGAAGGTTCATTTACTGGTCAAACAACAAGTGTCAAACACTTGTTGACAAGGATATGGAGAAACTGGAACCCTCATTTACTGTTCATCATTCTGCTGTTATCCAGCTGGATATAAAGTGATATATTGTTATGGTTTTGATTCCCATTTCTCTAATAACTAATGATGTCGAGCATCTTTTTTTGTTGTTGTTGAAATAGAATCTCACTCTGTCACTCAGGCTGGAGTACAGTGGTGCAATCTCGGCTCACTGCAACCTCTGCCTCTCAGGTTCAAGCAGCCCTCCCACCTCAGCCTCCTGAGTAGCTTGGATTACAAGCATGCATCACTATGCCCAGCCAAATTTTTTTGTGTTTAGAGACAGGGTTACACTATGTTGGCCAGGCTGGTCTCAAATTCCTGACCTCAAGTTATCCACCCAGCTTGGGCTCCCAACGTGCTGGGATTACAGATGTGAGCCACCATGCCCAGCGGAGCATATTTTTACATGCTTATTGATCATATATATATCTTCTTCTGTGGTTTCTTTCAAGATTTTCTCTGTCTTTGTAGTTTCAATATTATATGCCCGGGCATAGAATTTTGTTTTCAGTGTTTATCATGCTTGGTGTTCTCTGGGCTTCCTGGATCTTTGGCTTGCTGTCTGTCATTAATTTTAGAAAACTCTCAACCACTATTACCTCAAATATTTATTTTCTTGCTTGCTTGCTTTCTCTTTTTTCTTTTCTCCTTCCTTCCTTCCCTTCCCTTCTTCCTCTCCTACCCTCTCCTGTCCTCTCCTCTCCTCTCCTCTCCTCTCCTCTCCTCTCCTCTTTTCTCCCCTCCCCTCCCCTCCTCTCTCTCTTCTTTCTTTCTCTCTCTCTTTTTCTCTTTTTTCTCTTTCTTTCTTCTCTGGTATTCCCATTACATGTATGTTATGCCTTTTGTTATTGTCCCACAGTTCTTAGATATTCGGATTCACTTTTTTTCATTCGTTTTTTTCTCTTTGCTTTTCAGTTTGGAAAGTTTCTATTGATATATCTTTGAGCTCACTGATTTTTCCCTAAGCCATGTCCAGACTAGTGATGAGTCCATCAAAGACATTACTTATTTCTATTATACAGTTTTAAATTTCTAACATTTCCTTTTGATCGTCTCTTAGAGTTTTCTTTGCTCTGCTTACATTATCCATCTTGTATGTTGTTCAGTTTTCCCATTAGAGGCCTTAACATATAATCATATTTATTTTACATTTCCAGTCTGATAATTCCAAAATCTATGCCATATGAGTCTGGTTCTGATGCTTGCTTTGTATTTTCAGATTGTTTTTTGTTTGTTTGTTTGTTTGCCTTTTAGCCTGTCTTGTAATTTTTTTGTTATTGTTGAAACTGGGTATGATGTATCAGGTAAAAAGAACTGAGGCAGATAGGCCTTTAATGTGAGGTTTTATGTTTATCTGGCTAGGAGCCAGGCTGTGTTTACCACTTGCTGTAGCCATGGTGTCAGAAGCTAAACCCTAGTGTCCTTATTTTTGTCTTTCCTTTTTCCTTTGGGTTTTCCTAGAGACTCCTTCTTAAATAGGGTCTGAGACTTGCAGTTCCTTTAGCTGTAACCCTTGTTATTATTCAGGAGTCTACTGATGCCATGAGAAGCTTGGGGTTGAGAAGGGAAGCATTATACAGTCTTATAACTACGTCTCAGTCTTTTAATGAGCCAATGTCCTTGGGCTATGACCTTGACAAGTGCTTCTCAGCTTTCTCACTCCACTGTAGAGAGACAGGAAGGCTGGAGGGCACTTAGGTTGAGTATTTCCCTTCCTCCATGTTGGTTAGGCTTTGGTAAAACTTAAATTGGTTAGGCTGTGGTAAAATAGTTTTCTTTGAGGGTAGTCCTAGTTAAGGAGAACAGAGAGCTCTGGGTATATTTCAGATTTGTTACTTTTTCTGTCCCCCTGCTGGACGCATGAGGAAATATTCTCCAGTCTCCAGTGAGAAACTCATGGGATTTCGAGTTCTTGTTAAACCAAAACTGTCTGTATATCTTCTTTGGAAAAAAAAAAAAATCTCTATTTAAATCCTTTGCCCATTAATTTTTTTTCTTGTTGAGTTGTTATAAGGATTTTTTTTTTAATGAGATGGAGTCTCACTCTGTTGCCAAGGTTGGAGTGCAGTGGTGCAATTTTAGCTCACTGCAACCTCCACCTTCTGGGTTCAAGGGATTCTCTTGCCTCAGACTCCCAAGTAGCTGGGATTACAGGCACTTACCACCATGCCCGCCTAATTTTTTTGTATTTTTAGTAGAGACAGGGTTTCACTATGTTGGTCAGAATGGTTTTGAACTCCTGATCTCAAGGGATCCACCTGTCTCAGTCTCCAAAAGTGCTAGGATTACAGGTGTGAGCCAGTGCACCCAGATGTAAGGATTCTTTAGATACAAGAATTCTATACCTAGATACAAGTTCCTTATCAGATATGTGATTTGCATATATTTTCTCCCATTTTGTGACTTTTCATTTCCTTGATAGTGTGCTTTGAAGCATAAACATTTTTAATTTTAATGAAGTTAAATTTATCTGATTTTTCTTTTGTTGCTTGTGATTTGGGTGTCATATCTAAGAAACTGTTGTCGAAGGTCAAGAAGATTTACTGCTGTGTTTTCTTCTAAGAGTTTTAATAGCTTCAATTCCTACATTTAGGTCAATGATCCATTTTAGTTAGTTTTTGTATATGTTGTAAGGTAGCAGTCCAATTTTTATTCTTTTGCATGTGGATATCTAGTTGTCCCAGCAGCATTTGTTGAAAAGACTTCTCTTTTATTTAATTTTCTTATTTTTGTCAGAAATGAATTGAACATAAATGTAATGATTTACTTCTGGACTCTCAATTCTATTCCACTGATCTATATGTCTATAGATGCCAATACCACAGAGTCTTGATTATTATGTTGTAGTAAGTTTTAAAATCTGGAAGTGTGAATCCTCCAACTTTGTTCTTTTTCAAGATTATTTTGGCTTTTCTGAGTCTCTTGAATTTCCATATGAATTTAAGGATTGGTTTAGCAATTTCTACAAAAAGATAGCTGTGATTTTGATAGGCATTTTGTTGGATGTATAGATTAGTTAGACATCATAATAATGTGATATTTTCTAATTCCTGAACATGTAATGTCTATTTATTTAGTATTTAAACATTTCTCTCAACAATGTTTTGTACTTTTCACTGTATAAGACTTGTCCTTCTTTTGTTGAGTTTATTCCTAAGCATTTAATTCTATTTGATGCTATTGTAAATAGAATTAATTTCCTTTTTGAGTTGTTTTTTGTTACAATGCAGAAATATAATTGATTTGTGCATACAATTGATTTTTGCATTCCCATATTATATCCTATAGCTTTGCTGAACATATTTATTAGTTTTTATAGGGTTCTTTTGTGTGTGTGTGTGTGTGTGTGTGTGTGTGAATTCCTTGGGATTTTGTTATATATAAGACCTTGTCACCTACCAGTAGATAGTTTTACTTCTTCCTTTACAATATGAAAATATTTTATTTATTTTTTCTTGTCCAGTTGCTCTTGTGGAACCTTTAGTACAATGTTGAAGCCAGAATGGACCTCCTTGTGTTGTTCTTGATTTTAGAGGGAAATAATCCAATCTTTTAATATTAAGTCTAATGTTAGGTACAGGTTTTCATACATGCCTTTTATCAGGTTGAGAAAATTCTTTTTTCCCGAGTTTACTGAGTGTTTTATGATGAAAAGGTGTCCAAGATTGTCAAATGTTTTTTCTGTGTATGCTGAGATGATTATGTGTTTTCATTTCTTATTCTCTTTATATGCTATGATGTATTACATTAATTGATTTTAGGATGGAAAACCAATTTTTGGGATAACCTCCACTTGACATGATGGTAACTCTTTTTATATGATGTTAGATTCAGTTGACTGGTATTTTGTTGAGGAATTTTTCATATTCACATGAGATATTGATCTGTATTTTTGTTTTCTTGTTACATCTTTGTCTGGTTTTAGTATGAGGGTAATTAACTTGCCCATAGAGTGAGTTGAAAAGTGCTCATTTTAATGTTTTAAATTCAGAGACTTCTATCATCTTGATCAAATGAGCATTATCTATTTGTTTTAGGCATTTGAATCCTAAGTGTCTGAAATGAGTATCACACAGAAAAACCATAGACATTCAGTGGAGTTTGACTGAAATCCACTGTGCAATGAGTCTATTGAAGAGACTAGGAAAACTGAAACTAAGTCAAATTGAAATCAATTGCAAACCTTAAAGAACAGAATCCATAATACTATTAAATTTTTCCATGCAACACAGTTGTCATAAACTTCATAAATTGCTGATGTAAACAAATTTTTGAATTGATAATTTCACCAAATTAGATTTTGGTGTCCAAAAGCAAATTTTTCTAAGTTGATAAATTTGGAAAATTTGGTCAGTTGGACTCTGGGTAGCTTGGTCATTGGGTGAATTGTCTTTCAAATAAGTGCCTAGTTTGTGGGTACAGATAAAGATCACAGAAGACAGGGAATTGAGAGAACTTTGCCTACAGACTCCTTTCCCCCCCCCCAAAATAGACAATGAAGTTAAGTGCTGAGAGGTGAAAGTGAAGTAGAGGGTTTAAGGAAAATGGAGAAAGGCCGGGCGGGGTGCTCACACCTGTAATCCCAGCACTTTGGGAGGTCGAGGCAGGGGCATCATCTGAGGCCAGAAGTTCGAGACCAGCTTGGCCAACATGGCAAAACCCTGTCAATACAAAAAAAAGGAAAAATTAGCCAGGTGTGCTGGTGGACACCTGTAAATCCCAGCTACTCAGGAGGCTGAGGTAGGAGAATTGCTTGAATCTGGGAGGTGGAGATTGCAGTGAGCTGAGATTGTGCCACTGCACTCCAGCCTGGGCGACAGAGTGAGATTTTGTCTCGAAAAAAAAAAAAGTAGAGAAAGTTTGCAGGAGTCAATGAGGTGATGGAATTGGGCAACCCAAGCTTGCTGAGTTGTGTTCAGGACCCAGCTCTGTTGGTGCCAATTCCATTGGTTGTTGATGCTTCTTGTTCCTAGGAGCGCTCAGTGATGAGGGCACAGGAGTAGAGAAATCTGGTGATTAGTAGGTAGGTGGGAGAAAAAGACAAGGGGTTCAACAGGGGATGGCATGAGAATGGTGGTGTTGGCTCATGACATCCAGGCTGGGATGAGAAAGAAGAAAGGCTTGGTACACAAAAAGATAAAAGAAAGAGTCCAAAGGACTGGAGTTTCAAGAGGCATGAGGTTTAATGTCTGTGGGTAAGGGGATGAGGGAGCCAGAAACAAGAAGGGTTTACAGAGTGAGATTCTGGAGGATAAAATTTCAGGGGTAAAGCAGATCTTGTCATGAAAGGGCGGCCTGGTAAACAGAGTGGGCTGGTTGGATGGGTTATTGGAGGTGAAGACAATGTACAACAGTGGGGCCAGAGACTTGGTTGGAGCAATTAGTGGGGCAAGCACATGGATGGAATGATAGCAGGTCTTAGGATGGTGAGCAAGACTCTGGGACTAAGACTTCACTGAATCTGTAATTAGGAGCTGTCTTCTCCCAACCCCAAACTCCATTAGCCCAGCATTAATGAACCATCCTGTCATGAAAAAGGTGAGACGGGGAAGGGAATCTTGTTCTCGAGTGTTTGAAAAACTTCTCTGGAGAGGTCTTTACCTTCCTATATTTGCTTCTATCTCTGCCAGCTCTGTATTGACTGCTCAGTCAGATTTTGAATTCCTGATATTCTCTCAATCTGCTCCAGCCCATCCTGTTAGGTCTCTGATTGATTTTAATGATTTTTTTGACTAGCTGTGGCATGCTTTCTTCTGAAAGGTAGACATGCTTAAACTGCAAGCTTGCCAACTGACTTCCTGCCAACTGGGCTAACAGATGCCCTAGAATCCTTATCCCTTAGCAGCTAAGACCAAGACCATTAAGAGGAAGTAGTATAATCAATGTCCTGAGTCCCAAAAGGTAAGGGGCTTTGCACAAAAATGGAGGAGCTATGGAAGCCAACAATAAGGAATGAGAAGAAAGCTCTTTTTCTTCTTGCTCTCAACCGGAGATTTTGAATTTTTCCCTCCATTTACAAATACCCTTTAAGTGTCTATCTGTACAACTAAATGATCTTGCAAAAGAAAATCCCCAAAATTGACCTTTTAAATGTGCCTCCCTTTCAAGTTGCTGATGTATCTCTGCCTCGTCTTCCCTTTTCATGGTCACCAAACTTCTTGAGCTGTCTTTATGGTTTCTGCTTTTGTCCCTCTCAAGAGACAACTCTATCAGAGGTCAACAGTAAATGTTCTAATTTTGAAGTCCAATGGCCAAAGATATTCATAAAACCACTACTCTGGAGCCTGGCCAACGTTAGGTTCTGAGAATACAAAATTAGCTATTGTCTGCCTCCCAAGAACTCACAATCTGCTGAGGGAGATAGACTCAAATTGATATTTTCAACACTCTTCTCCTGGATTTTGAGACACTAGTGTTGTAGTTGTAGTCTCCTTTTCGGCCTCCTAAGAGGGCTCCTCTCTTTCTCTTTCTGTATCTCTCTCTCTCCCTCTGGCCTTTGTATATTGGCTCTATGCTAGGACTCTTTTTTCTCTTATACCATATTTCCTGTCTGAGAAATCTCATCTAAACCAATTGCCTCATTTCCCATGTATGTGTGTATGACTCTCGAGTTTAAATTGCTAGCTTACGTCTATCCTCTCAGCTCCAGAACAACTGTTAACAAGACAGTTTCTTAACATAAGTATATTTACAACCAGGTTCATCACTGTAATCTCTGATCCACTTCCCCTCTTACTTATCCTCATTCTCTGTGAATATGTGAATAGAATTTCTCTACCCAACTACCCAGACAGAAACCTGGTGTTATCCTCAACTCTTAATTTCTCCTCCACCTCATGTAATCACATACAATGTGTCTAGTCTGTACTACATTTTCTATAGCTGTTTGGTCTGTTAGCTTCTCTAGGTCTTCCCTGCTTTTTCCTTAGAAAAAGGTTTCCAATCTTCCTTAGCTTCCTTAACTAGCTTCCTATTTGGTTTATGAGCTTCTAGTCTTGTCTCTCTGACCCATCTTACAGTCTGATGCAAGAATGATCTTTCTGAAATGTAAATCATATCCTTCTTTTTTCAATTTAAAAATACTAATGGCATCCCTTAGTTTTCAGGATAAAATCCAAACACTTTATCAAGGGTAAATCAGGTTACAGGGCCCTTTGTAACCTGGTCTTGCCTGGCTTTCCTTCTTCACCTCCTTCACTTTTTCCTCAAATCCTAAATCCCTGCTATACCAAATTACTTGGAATTTTTCAACCACTTTATACCATTTCATAATTTAAAGCATTAATACCTGCAGATCTTGCTGCATGGAATGCCCTCCAAACTGGCTTCTTTCCCTGAAGCTTGATGAATTCCTAGTCATTCTTCAAGATTCAGCCCTAGCATTGTTTCTTCTGAGAAGTTCTGCATGGACCACCTCCTTTCTTGGTACTCCAGTAGGCCTCAGTTGCAACCATGCTCATAGTACCTGTTTTACTATGCTGTACTTACTTTTGATCTGTCTCTCTAACAAATCTTTTGGGCCTTTGAGGGGACATCCCTATATTTCAAACAGTGCTTTGGAGGGAGAAAAAATATGCTTGCTAAGTTAACTGATTAATTATTGAATGCCTCCTATGACAAAGAAGACACTGTGCTAGGCACTGTGATGCATTTTTGTAGGTTTCCTTTCCTCTCTTAAAAACTTCTCAATCTCCTTCAAAAGTTCTCTATCCTGTCTGTTCCCTAATGTCTGACCTCAGCCTTCTCTTGCTCTACATATATACTCTGACTCACTCTATCCATTTATTTAGCTTTAATTGCTGACAACTCCCAAATCTGTTCTTCCAGCAAAAACTTTTTTTTCAAGCTTCAGATGCTCCCGGGCATCTCAAATGCAGTGCATATGAAACTGAACTATTTTCTTTCTTTTTTTTTTATTCCTTCTGAGATAAAAGGAGAAGATAATTGTAGGAAAGGTTCTGAAATCATTTTAAGGAAAAGTAGTTAGAAATTAAGCCAGGACAATGTCATAAAGTCTTTGGTGACATCCCTAGGTACAGCTATTGTGTTTTCATCTCCTTTTGTGTTTTCAAGTGAATAGCAGTAAAATTCCTTTAATGCTGTGCTTCCCATACTGGACTATACAGTAGTGTACCAAGGTATATATGAAGCCACAGTGTAAACAAGGCTTGTCTTCCCAATACATCTGATAGAAAACTGTGGGTGGGTGTGTGTTTGTGTAATGTACAAGATTTAACTTGTGAGAATTAAAAACATTATTTTTCTATTAAACAGACATGTTGTGGAACAGAATGCAAAATGTCAGAAAAGTTAAAGTTCCTTTCCTGAAAATATAAGCATATAAACCATTTCTATTATTAAGATATCTCAGATTTAACTACCAAATTTAAGGCTGGGCTTGGTGGCTCATGCCTATAATCCCAGCACTTGGAGAGGCCAAGGCAGGTGGATCACCTGAGATCAGGAGTTCGAGACCAGCCTGGCCAACATGGTGAAACCCCATCTCTACTAAAAAATACAAAAATTAGCCAGGCCTCATGGCAGGTACCTGTAACTCCAGCTACACGGGAGGCTGAGGCAGGAGAATCGCTTGAACCTGGGAAGCAGTGGTTGCAGTGAGCTGTGCCATTGCACTCCAACCTGGGCAACAAGAGTGAAACTCCATCTCAAACAAACAAACAAACAAAAACTGAAACATCAGTAACTACCAAATTTATATCCCAGAACTAGAGGAGAGCTACACTATGCCCATGTATTTAAGAGCACAGAGAGGAAAGCCTTAAGGGTACAAACCTTACCTAGGCATGAACCACAGGGAATCAGCTTTGCAGGAAGTTCTTTTTTAGATGAAGAAGGAGGAAACAGGAGAAGGGAGGAATCAACGAGTCCAAAAGACAGAGCTAAGCAGAAGAACTCAGTACAACCCATTGATTCATTCAACAGACATTTATAGATGCCTATTTTGTCTCATGTTCTTTACAAAGTCGTAGGAAAAGGGAATTAGATGTGTTTGTGCCCTTAAGTAGTTCACTATTTAGTAATGAATGCTGAACAATATAATTATACTGTTGTTGTAATAAAGAATATATAATGTGAAACTGGCCACTGGAAAGGGAAATAAAGAAAACACCCTGTTTATAATGGCATCAAAAAGAATAAAAATTTGAGAATAAATTAAACCAAGGAGGTAAAATATCTATACACACACACAAAAGATCTATATACTGAAAACTATGAGATGCCAATGAAAGAAGTTGAAAAAGAGCAAATAACTGGAAATACATCCCATGTTTACATATCGGAAGAATTAATAATATTAAAATGTCCATGTTACTCAACGTGATCTACACATTCAATGTATTTCCCTATGAAAATTCCAATGGCATTTTTCACGGAAGTAGAAAAAATACTAAAATTAGTATAGAACTGCAAAAGACCCCAAATAGACTAAATAATGTTGATAAAAAACAAAGCTGGCAGAAAAATGAAACACCGCATATTCTCACTCATAGGTGGGTGATGAAAAATGAGAACACATGGACACAGAAAGGGGAGTACTAAACACTGGGGTCTATTGGGGGGAAAAGGGGAGGGCCAGTGGGAGGGGGAGGTGGGGAGGGATAGCCTGGGGAGAAATGCCAAATGTGGGTGAAGGGGAGAAGAAAAGCAAAGCACACTGCCATGTGTGTACCTACGCAACTGTCTTGCATGCTCTGCTCATGTACCCCAAAACCTATAATCCAATAAAAAATTAAAAAAAAAAAAAAAACAAAGCTGGAGGCATCTTTGCTGATTTCAAACTACATCACAAAGGTACAGTAATCAAAACATTATGTATCATACTGTTTTGCATGTATAGCCTAAAAAGAGACACACAGTCCAATGAAACAGGATAGAGAACTCAGAAATAAACTCACGCATATATGGTCATATGGTCAAATGAATTTTTTTTTAATAGGGTTTCACCGTGTTGCCCATATTGGAGTGCAGAGGTGCAGTCTTGGCTCATTGCAGCCCTGACTTCTTGGGCTCAAGTGATCTTCCCATCTCAGCCTCCTGAGTGAGGAGCTGGGACTACAGGCACACTCCACCTCATCCAGCTAAATTAAAAAAAAATTTATAGACATGAAGTCTCCAGATGTTGCGCAGGTTGGTTTCAAACTCTTGAGCTCAAGTGATCCTCCTGCTCCTGCTTCTCGAAGTGCTGGGATTACAGGTGTGAGCCACCATGCTCAGCTGGTCAACTAATCTTTGATGAGGCACCAAGAATACACAATGGGGAACAAAAATCCCTTCAATAAATAGTGTTGGGAAAACTGGATAGACATATGCAAAATAACAAAATTGGACCCCTGTCTTATGTAAAAATGAATTTGGAGTGGGTTCAAGACTTAAATCTAAGATGTGAAACTGCAAAACTCTTAGGAGAAAACATAGGCGGAAAAGCTCCCTGACATTGGCCTTAGCAATGATTTTTCAGATATGACACAAAAAGCATAGGCAAACAAAATAAAAATAAACAAGCTGGATCACATCAAACTAACAGGCTCTGTACATCAAAGGAAACAATAAACAAAATGAAAAGGCAACCTACAGAATGGGAGAAAATATTTGCAAACCATATCTGATAAGGGGTTATATATATATCCAAAAAATATAAGGAACTCACACAACTCAATAGCAAGAAAACACAAAAAATCTGATTTGAAAATGGGCAAAGGATCTGAACAGACATTTTTCTAAAGAAGCAGTACATGAAAAAGTGTTCAACACCACTAATCATCAGAGAAATGTAAATCAAAACCACAATGAGATATCCCACACTTGTTAACATGACTGTTATAAAAAAGACAGGAGGTGGCACGTGTTGGCGAGGATGTGGAGAAAGGGGAACACTTGTATACTCTTGGTGGGAATGTAAATTGGTACAGCTACTATGGGAAACAGTATGAAGATTCTTCAAAAAATTAAAAATCAAACTACCCTATGATTCAGCAATCCCACTTCTGGGTATATACCCAAAAGAAATGAAATCAGGATCCTGAAGAGAGATTTCTGCATTCCCATGTTCACTGCAGCCTTATTCACAATAGTCAAGATATAGAAACAATCTAAGTGTCTGTCGACACATACATAAATAGAATGTGGTATATTTATACACAATGGAATTTTATTCAGCCATAAAAAGGAAGTCCTGCCATTTATGACAACATGGGTGACTTACTCACTTAGACATTATGCTAAGTGAATAAGTTAGACACAGAAAGAGAAATACTGTATGATCTCATTTATATTTGAAATTTAAAAGAATTGAACTCATAGAAACAGAGTAGAACAGTTATTGCCAGGGGCTGAGGTATGAGGGAAATAGAGATGTTGATCAAAAGGTCCATGCTTTCAGTTATAAGATGAACAAGTTCTGGGGATCAAATGTTCAGCGCAGGTGGTGAGGGATGTGTTAATTAAAAAAAGAAAAGAAATTGGATCATTGGAATAGTGCTGAGCTTTGCTGCAGGGAATTCTGTCAACACTTTACAAAAAAGGCAACCTTTCAGCGTTTGGCTAGTCTTGTAAGATGTATAGGTGTTTTCTGCCTGTAGTTTGGTTAGAAATATTCCAGAAAGTTGGAATATAAAATGTGTGGGAAATGAATTAGAAATATGCTCACATTCTTGACAATCATTATTAGCATTTAAGTCCTGGAAGAGGAAGGAGACCATTTCTTTTGCTTAGCATACTCGGTAGCGTAGCTTAACCCTGTCTCTGCATATGGTACCATGTTTATTGTTTTGTAAAGCTCAGCCAGAGAGTTTAATATGGTGTGGATTTAGCTTACTCCTCCTTATTTAATGAACATAAATTGAGCATCTATTTTGTATCAGGCCTTATGGTAGAGTTATCAAGAATGAGTCCCACTTTCTGGATTCAGCAGTTTGGCTGAATGAAGGGATCAGTTAGGTAGACAGGCAACAGTAGTATATAGGATTGGCAGGTACATGCCCACAGGATTATAAATAACAGTACACAGGAGAGGCCTGAGCCCATTTCGAGGGTGATGCAGAGTTTGGGGCCACTGAAGTGACTTCTGAGCAAATATCTGAATGACAAGTAGGAGTGGACTTGAAAGAGGGCAAGCATTATAGAGGGAACATCATACACCAAGTAGTGATATAGTCAGAGAATAACAAGCAGTTTCTCATGAAGGGTGGCTGCAAATAATGGTAGGAGAGGAGGCTGAGAAGTAGCTGGGACCAGGTCATAGGTGACCTTTGTGTCATTAAATGTCTGGATTTTATCCAGTGAAGGCAATGGTTAGTCATTGGAATACTGACTATGAAAGGTATTTTTCAAAGAGTAGATTGTTAGTGGGTTGTAAAATCAATTTAGTGAATTGGGGCCAGCATATAAAAGGTGAACAAGTAGAAAATACGAGTGTAGATCATATTTGTAAAAGCAAATAACATATATTTTTTTTGAGACAGAGTCTCACTCCGTCACCAGGCGCCAGGCTGGAGTGCAGTGGTGCGACCTCAGCTCACTGCAACCTCCACCTCCTGGGTTCAAGCAATTCTCCTGCCTCAGCCTCCTGAGTAGCTGGGACTATGGGTGCGCACCACCACGGCCAGCTAATTTTTTTGTATTTTTAGTAGAGATGGGATTTCACCATGCTGGCCAGGATGGTTTTGATCTCTTGACCTCGTGATCCGCCCGCCTCGGCCTCCCAAAGTGCTGGGATTACAGGTGTGAGCCACGGTGCCCAACCAGCAAATAATATTTTATGAAGATTTTATTTCAATCATTTATGTTTATGAATAATCTGATGTAAAATGCTTTTTGGTCTGTGGGTCACAGTCACAATTTATGAGAAGCACTAGCATAAAGGTTCAATGGTACACAAATTATCAGATTACTTTTAGTAGCTATTAACAGAGAATTCACACCCAAATGGAAATAATCACTAGAAAAGATTATTATCCAACATAACTAGGATTCCAGTTTGGAAGCTCTTGGTTTTGTACTTTTGGTTGTTCTAATCTGCCACTCTCAGTGTTATCTTCTGCCTAAAGCCAGTTCCCCAGTGACACTTAGAATAACATGCCAATTTATTCATCTAGGTGGAATAGAGCCTAGATTCTCACTGCTTCAACCTAGTTTAGGCCTGTCTACCAGAACCCCTTCAGGAACTAATCCACTATAAGGAACTGAAATGCAATGTGGCAAACTCAGTGTATTATGGAAACACAGAACACCTTGGTTGACAGTCATGAATTTAGGTGTGGGGATGGTCAGGGGAGCCACCTAGGTGATGACAAAGGTTTATGTGTAAGTTAAGTAAGTTTTAAAAGGGAGAAGGCTCTCTGTGTGGTAGGGACTGCTTGAACAAAAGGTTGTGGACAGGGGAGCTGTACACAAGGAAACATCCAAAATAGGAACTTTTATGCTTCTGAGCCATAGCATTTAGAGGCAAAGGAAGTAGCTGGAGTGATCAGTAGATGTCTGAACAAGGAGGGTAGTCATGATAAGGAATCTGGACTCTTTCCGATAGGAAATGAACAACTGAAGATCATCGCCAGGGAATTAAGATGATCAGATTCCCATCACTACAGCCAAAGTGTAGAGGAAGGAGGTTAGGAGGTTGTTGCAGTAATCCAGGATAGAGGGATCATGGATTTCATATTAGGGAGCAAGTTGACTGCAGATTTGAGAAACACCATGGAAATAAATGTGTTAACTTCAGTGTAGATGAGTGTAAGGAAATAATCACCGACTTTTCTAGTCATCTCTCCGGGACATCAGGTTTATAGTGTATTAATTGTAAAGCCTGAATTTGTTACCTTTTGAGAAAGGAGTGATCATTACTTTGTCAACCTTACCATAAAGAACTGGAGCCCAAGATGGGGAGAACCTTTGAGAGTGCTGCTCTAGAGTTTGAACACAAAGAGGTTCCTAGATAGACTTGGGGAGCATTCCACTAGGTGAAGAAAAGTTATTTATTTATAGGCCAGATTAATAAAATTCTTGATGCTGTTATTTTCCTTGTGTTATCCCTGAGCCTTTAGCAAATGTCTTACGATTCATGTACTTTTATTTGGACCAAAACCCAAAACATTAAAGGGAAAGCAGTATCCCTTGAGGCCACTGTGGTAGTAGCAGTGGCCTGTTATTGTGAGCTCATTGATGATACAGATTGTTTCTTGTCTCTAGTCTCTGTATGACAAACAGTAGATATTGTATCCCTGCTGCCTAAATTGATGCTGGGAACTAGCAGATGCTCAAAAAGCATGTAGGGAACTGTTGAAAGTCCCAAAGGGAGATACATTTCTGGGGTCTAAGAGGAAAAGCTACAGGAGCCCAGCCACAATCCATCTATCCAAAATAAAGATGTGGTTTTAAGGAAAGTGATTTCTCTAGAAGTCAGGTATGACTCCTAGATATCAAGCTTGGGTGTATGTTCATGCTAAGACAGGAGGAGGGGTATATTTTTTAGCAGAAGGAGAGTTGTAGCTTTTTTTTTTTTTTTTGCTATAAAAATGTTTTATTAGGCCAAACTACTTACTATGAAAATGCTTTAAAATGCAGCAGGAGGAGATGTAAAGACTCAAAGAAGTGTGTAGTGACAATGGCGATCAGAACACACTGAAGAATCCACACTGCTTCCCCCTTTACCTAGAAAAGGAAGCTTCTATGCTACCTTCTCCTCTTCAGCACACTCCTCAAACTCCTCCTCCTCAGCTGTGGCATCTTGGAATTGCTGGTATTCTGACACCAGGTGATTAAGGTTGCCCTCGGCCTCGGTGTACTCCATCTCATCCATGCCCTTGCCCGTGTACCAGTGCAGGAAGGCCTTGCGCCTGAACATAGCTATAAACTGTTCAGAGTTGTAGCTTTATTTCATAAATGTTTTGAGTGTCTACTATATATCATTCAAAATATAAGAGCTTTCTGGTAATGGTGTGAAGAACAAACTAGAGTAGAGAAAAAGAGATAAAGAGCTCTGTTGGGAGTGGACGAGTATAAGACTAAGGCAGCTGCAGCTAAATAACCCAGAACAGTTCTGTCACCAGTGAACCCTCTACCCTTACTCTTGCTTACTGTCTCAGATAATGGATGGGTTCAGTGGGCCAAATATATTCAGAAGATAGAGCCTAAGATAAAATCTCTTCTACCTACTCTACTGGGGATATGGTAGTTATCAGGCACTGCTATCAAGTGTTCAGACCAAGAGCAATGGCTCCTTTCCAAAACTACCACATTACGAAAGCCTCTGAAGCCAAGGGAACAGTAGTCTGGCTGTGCCAAGAAAGGGACTCCCAGCTTCTCACATTCTGTAGCCGGATTTCCCTTTTCTGGGTTCCCAGAGAGGCCAGATTTGACAACAATAAAAACTTCCAGGAAATTCCCAGGAGGTTTAATTTCCTAATTCTTCTCTGGCTTAGACTTTCTTACCCCTTCCCCCCACCAAGAGGAAGGAGCTTATCCTGGAGCCCAACATCCTCTGCTGAATGTCTCCACCCCTTTGGCCAAAGTGGTGGAACATCTGAGTCTTGGGTCCTCTCCTCCCAGGTCCATTCAGGGGATTGAGGGGAACACATGAAAGTAATGTGTGATCCTGCCTCAAAACAGAGGAATGACTGCAGTATCCCTAGAAGGTTCATAGGGTACTAGATTGTTTAAGGAAGTTTTACTTGCACATTGTCACTCCCCTACCCCTGTCAGGAAGTAATCTTTCTCTAAGAAATCCCAAGCATGCAGTCTCTAGGATGTCAAAACCACCACTTCTGGCAACATTTGGAATTATAGGATGCATTCCCATCTAAACTGGCATTAAGAAAAACAAAACTGCACTAACCAAAAATAACCCATTAAGGACCAGAAGCATAAGCCATGGATTTACTATCCCAGGTAGACTAAGCATTTGGATAATTCTCATTCTCCAGATACCCCACTGGAAGGAAAAAAGAAATGAATTTATATATATTCATATAAAGACTTTTATCTATTGTGCAAAGACAGGGTCATCTGGCTCCCCAAAAGGTTCTCAACCCCATCAAGACTGTCCATTTTACAGCTCTAGCTTCAGTTCTTCTCAGAGGTAAAAGTACTCCAAAGGCCTGTGATCATGGGTACTGGTTAAGGACTGCAGACTCTTCAGATCCAGTTAAATCCCTGGTGTTTGAGCTGTGTGGGAGCTGTGGTTGCTTCCTTCGAGGCTCTGGCTGAGGTCCTGCCGCAAACCCTGCAGTAGCTGGTTTAAGAGTGTAAGGTGGCTGTCTCTGCGAGGCAGAGGCAGGGGTGGAAGGCAATTCCCTTTATATTCGATCACTGCCATCTTGGCCCGATCCGTACTCCGATTTGGGATCTGCAGCATTCTTGTGTAGCCCCCATTTTGATCTTTGTACCGAGGGGCCAGTACTTGAAAGAGCTTTGGGATCAAGTCCTTCTCCTAGAGGGAGAAGTATCCAAGAGACAGCAGAGTCAGGCACAACTGCAGAGACATTTAATTTTACGTCACTCCCAAAGGTAAGGTCCACCCACAAACAGAAAGACCTCCCCCTCCTCCACCAATCTGGGAGAGTCAATGTTACACAAAGGGTCATTTACAGGGAGTTGTGCAGAGACGTATTAACATCGACTTTAACTAAAGACACAGTTTCTAATTTAGTCAACAACACTGACCGGTAAGTGAGTACCCTAGCTTAATTCTGCCCAGTTCTTCCTCCAACCCTTACCCCCAGGGAGCAAAGGGTAGGTAGGATTTTGAAGGCGGTTAGGACGCACTCACTGTGAGCCAGAAGTCAGCCATGCGCATGGCTCGTTCGTTGGTGTCTCCCAGCTTCCCATAGTCGATGAGCTGTGAGGACAAGACATCAGGGATCCGACCGAGGAAGAAAACAAGGCGTCAATTTAATTTCTCTAATGCCGGACCGCAATCCACTAGCAAAGTACCTCCAATCTACGCCACCCCTAATTCCGCAGCCCTAACCAGTCAGTCTTCCATTTAGAGGCGATGGAGAGGAGGGTTCAGCTTAGGGTCCTAGGGGACTCAGACTTGTGGAATGGTTTAGCAGGTTGGTCCCAGTCCTTTCCCACTTGCAGCCGGCCCCGCCCCTTCAGACCAGACTCGCAGAGTGGACAACAGGGCCCCGCTCCTCACCTTCTCCGCATAGCCCCTCATCTCGTCCACACGCGCCCATGGTGCCTCGATGCGTTCGTGCCGCACCAGCCCTGTGAGTAAGTTCCGCAACAGATGGATGCGAGACTCCGGACCAAGGCCCAGACGGCGATATACTCGGCCATGGGAGATGGCTGCAGCGACCGAGAGCCGCATGTTCCCACCTTCTGCCCTCCCCTTGGAGGCCGGAACTGGAAACTGGAAGGTAGACCGGGTGGAGGCAATTTGAAGGAACGCATGCGTCTTAGCGCGGAGCGTGGCAAACGTGTTTGCGCATGCGCATCAGAGCCTGCCTCGTTGGCAGTCTCGAAAAGGGCGGAGAAAGGGTGTTGAGCTTTTCCAGAGGCGGCGAGCTGGGCGGGCTTCAGGCAGTGACCGCTCGGTGGCAGCTGAAGAACCAGGCGCCCCCTAGTGTGGGATAAGCGGGCATCACGCTTTTCTTGAGCTGCGTCAGCCGAAGTGTGGCATTTAGGGGGATGGGACTCTCCGCCGCGGAGCCCCCTGGGAAAGAGAGCGTCTGAGGAGAAAGGTACTTGTTCGGGGTCCTGCGGGCTGCCCGCCCTACCCAGCCCAGCAGTGGCCAGCTGGCCTGGCTGACACCTGTGCGAATCGTTTTTAACACAGTGATTTTCAGTAGTAATGGTGAAATGGATAATAACGATGCCCCGAAAAACGCTGATAGTGAAATTTTCTTTTGTTGAAGTAATCATTCCAGTTTAAAAAAAAATTGCAGCACTAAAAGGAAAAGTAGTGGATTGTTTTTAATTACACCAGTGTGGTTTTTTAAAGAGGAAAAACATACCTACACATTTATGTGTTAATGAACGATAATATTATAGTTTGTTTTTGAGCCTTCACATCTGCAAATTGGCAATGACTGTCCAAATTGTTACTTCTTATGGCTTGAGTTGTGTATTCCCCATGATTCTTCCTGTCCCCAAAAAGCTATAAGTCTTAACCTGCAATAACTCAGAATGTGACCTTATTTGGAAATAGGGTCATTTGCATATGTAACTTGTTTTTTTTTGAGACTGAGTTTCGCTCTTGTTACCCAGGCTGGAGTGCAATGGCACGATCTCGGCTCACCGCAACCTCCGCCTCCTGGGTTCAGGCAATTCTCCCGCCTCAGCTTCCTGAGTAGCTGGGATTACAGGCACGCGCCACCGTGCCCAGTTAATTTTTTGTATTTTTAGTAGAGACGGGGTTTCACCATATTGACCAGGATGGTTTCTATCTCTTGACCTCGTGATCCACCTGCCTTGGCCTCCCAAAGTGCTGGGATTACAGGCTTGAGCCACCGCGCCCGGCTGTAACTTGTTAAGATGAAGCTATATAGGCATAGGTGGGCGCCTAATCCAAAATGCCTAATGTCTATCTATCTATCTATCTATCTGTCGACACTAGTCATTTTGGATTAAGCGGGCCATTGGGTTTTTCTTGTGCTGCGTCAGCAGAAGTATGGCATTTAGGGCGATGGGAGTCTTTGCCATGGAAAAAGAGCATCTGAGGAGAAAGGCACCTGGAGGGTTCGGAGTCCTGAGGGCTGAAGACTCTATCATCTATCTATCTATCTATCCATCCATCCATCCATGCATGCATACATATATGCAGGCTGGGCGTGGTGGTTCACGCCTGTAATCCCAGCACTTTGGGAGGCTGAGGCGGGCAGATCACCTGAGGTCAGGAGTTCCAGACCAGCCTGGCCAACATGTTGAAACTGTCTCTACTAAAAATACAAAAATTAGCCGGGTGTAGTGGCTCATGCCGGTACTTCTAGTTACTCAGGAGTCTGAGGCAGGAGAATAGCTTGAACCCGGGAGGTGGAGTTTGCAGTGAGCTGAGATCAGGCCACGGGACTCCAGCCTGGATGACAGAGTGAGACTCCATCTCAAAAAAAAGAAAAAATGCATATTAAGAGAGAGAGATGGACACTCAGGATGATGCTGACCAGGTAAAGACAGAGACATATAGGGAGAAAGCCATGTGACCTTGAAAGCAGAGATTATGGAGTTAAGCAGTGGCAAATCAATAAATGAAAACCAAGGATTGCTGGAGCACACCTGAGGCTAAGGGAAAGGCATAAAACGTATTCATTTTCAGATCCATCAGTAGCATGATCCTGCTGCTGACACATCAGTTTCTTTCTTCTAGCCTCTAGAGCCACAAACAATAAATTTGTGTTATTTTAAATTTTACAGTTTGTGATAGTTTGTTATAGCAGTTATAGGAAATGAAATCACTCCTATTTACGTGTACATATTCAGTAGACAGTATAGTTAGATTTGTCACTCTGTCAGCTTATAGGTGACCAAAGAACATTTCTTTCGTAGTTTTAATTTTGAAAAGCTTCTTTAATATGAATCAACAAATATGCAAACAGGAAAAGTCATAAACATATCAATACATTGACAGATTTATACAAATCACACTTCACAGTTACAGAAATTACAATACCATTCATGTCTTATTTCTATGGGAACAATTTTTGTAGTTTTCAATTGTCTTTGCAATTAAAAAATTTCACTAAGATATTTTCACCAGAAGTTTTTTTGAGACACAGTTTTGTTCTTGTTGCCCAGCCTAGAGTGCAATGGTGTGCTGCCGGCTCACTGCAACCATGCCTCCCAGGTTCAAGCGATTCTTGTGCCTCAGCCTCCCGAGTAGCTGGGATTACTGGTGCCAGCCACCACACCTGGCTAATTTTTTTTGTATTTTTAGTAGAGATGAGGTTTCACCGGATTGGCCAGACTGATCTCAAACTCCTGACCATAAGTGATCTGCCTGCCTCGGCCTCCCAAAGTGCTGGGATTACAGGCATGAGCCAGTGCGTCTGGCCCACCAGAAAATGTATCATGAATTTCTATTGGCAAAAACTTGTTAAGAGTCTCTTCCTCAGCAAAAGTTAGGTAAAATGAAACATTGATCCATTATTTTAGAAAATGCTTACACTTGGTTAAAAACAATTGTAGCATCCAACATCATCCTTTTGACTTTTTCTGGCAATACAAGACAATCATCTCTTGTCTTTTTTGGTAGTCTTCAAAATTTGATTCTTTTTTTCTATATCAGTTTCCTTACATTTTGTTTTTGTAGCATTACTACCGGCTTTCTCTGCAATTTCTGTGGGCTGCTGTTAGTGGAACAATTTTTTTTTAACAGTCCAGGGGTCTTTTATTATTATTATTACTTGTACCTATTATGTCATGACTTCATAGGGAATGGGTTCCAGTCGCTCAGGCTCCTCTGCATTGGTTCTCACAAAGTATGCTTCTCTTGGTGTAGCAGGCTGGCCCATCAGTTGAATCCAGGTACCTTTCTCTTTGGCTCCCTTCTTTTTCTGATCATTTTCTTTCATGCATTCTAGGAGGCTACTTTGTCCCTTAGAGTGTTTAATGTGCTCCACATGCACATTAATTCTCTTGGCAAGAATCTTGCCCTTAACTTTTTTATTTTCCTTTTTACAGCAATGCCAACAGCGTGCTGAGTAACATTATAGACTCTTCCAGTTTTTGCCCTGGTAGCACTTGTGAAGCATTTCGTTTTGAACCATACCCATTCCCTTGATGTCTACAGTATCACCTTTTTTTATAGATTTCCATACATCTGGCCAACTCCATGTTGTCTAAAAGGTCTGGAGAATATACAACGGGTGCCTCTCCTGTTTTTCTTGTTTTGGTAATTTTGGTGAATTACCAGAATATTGAGGTTCCAGTCAAAAGGAAGTTAAAGCAACAATTTAAACCTTGATGTTTTACTGACTCTGTGTTGTTCAAGGCTTAGTCTGGCTCTTTGCAGATACTTTTGTGTTTGGCCTTCTTTGAAGCTTCGCATTAATAAAAAAAATACTCATAAAAGAAAAATCCCACAAAACTAAAGTTGTTTGTCTTAAATCTACTGTTTAAAAGCAAGGATATCTTGTACAACAGGAGTTGGAGTTATGAAATGTGCCTGAAGTGAGCCTAAAAGCTAATTAAACTCTTATGAATTTATGTCAAAAGTAATATATGGGAGGCTGATTTGAGTAATAATAAAACTCCAGTTTTCTGCACAGCCAGTTCTGTGTGAATTACTCTTTCGCTGTTGCAATTCCCCTGTCTTGATAAATCAGCTCTCTCTAGGTAGTGGGCAAGGTGAACCCATTGGGTGGTTACAAATTTGGGGGCTTGTCCAGAATTGCCCATGTGGCTACCTGCCCATGGTTTGGTAGTCCCCCTCTGGTCATGGATGCTGATGTTAGCCCAAGCAGCTGCCTAGTTCTTTTGGACTGGGGGTTGACTCTGGTACTGTCTCTATCAACGGGCCACTGCTGACCGAATGTACATGGATTTAATTACAATAGAGATATAGTCCTGGGGAGATGTCCTATAACTGTAACCCAATCATGGAGTGTCTGTAGCTATAGCCTTATTACAGGGTGTCTGGCTTGGTGAGTATCCTAGGCACTCATCTGATCTTGTAGCCCCTACCCAGGAACCGACTCAGTTCAAGAAGACAGCTTTGACTCCCTGTGATTTCATATATGACCTGACCAATTAGCACTCTCAGCTCACTAACTTTTCCCCCCACTCACCAAGTTGTCCAAACTCTGATACCCAAATGCTCAGGGAGACTGATTTGAGTAATAATAAAACTACTTTCCTGCCAAAAAAAAAAAAAGTAATATGTGTGGCAGAGTTTGTGTAACTAGTGTTCTCCAAATTAATTTCCATGTAGAATACACTATTTTTAGTGAATAAATGTAAAAAGTGATAATTTGAAGATTACATACATATTTTTATAATGCAACAGTAACTGCAGCAGTTGCCTAGAACTTAGATTAACAAAATTTTTTTTTTTTTTTGGTGAGGGTTATTATATCACTAACATTGCCTAGAATTGTTGTACAAGGTGATGATAAAAATCAGATAGACTTTTAGTTAGTTTTATTACTATTTAAACACTTTTTACAGACAATTCACCCCTTATTTCTGCACCCTGGCCAGGCTGCTCTGACCTCTCAACCCTGGTACCCACTGGTTCTCAGTATGCACCCAAGATCCCAGGGAAGGTATTTGGAATATATCTAAATATTTTGCCCGAGACAGGACTTGGAGTGACTCTGATGAGAGTACAGGTGGAGCCCCTGAAGAGGGTTGGTAGTGACCACAGTCAGTCTGGCAGGATTGAGGAAAGTGTCCCAATCAGTGTTTTGGGAAACAGCTGATGAAAAAAGATCCCAGCTTCTAAGAGAATTTTTGTCCATAACCTCTACTGGAAGGAGTTGGATCTGCTGACGTCACTGCAGAGAACCTCTAAATGCCTGCATCCTATTCTGCAGGAGCCTCTGTGAAGCAGTCTTTGGGGAGACAGTTTAGGGGAGTGTTTGGTGCAGGAAGTGTTTGGTCAGGGATTTAGCGATGATGTGGGAAGCTATTATTGAGTAAACCCCAAACCAACTTCTGATTCTATCTCTAGAATCCTGAATGTCTAGAAATATCCTGGGAACTGGCTCTTTCTTGACATATATTAATTAATTTCTACCCTCAGAGC